AAATTGCACTTACTGATCGTCGAATTATCGCTCGACACCAACAACCAAATATGTGCTGTGCTAAAGGTGCTCACATTGATACAAGTATTTTCTTACGTGACATCGAGCTAATCGGCGAAGCTGGCCGAGAAAAACAGAACTCCTGTTTAATTATTCTTGTTGCCATTCTTAGCTGTACATGGCCTTGCCTATGGTGTGCTATGTGCTGTGGTGATCAACCTAGAGTGCTTCACGTCAAAGGTGGATTCGGTGACGAAGGATTGATCTTCAATAGAACTGAAATAATTACTGCTGCAAACGATTTATCAGCAATGATTCTACCGTTCAAAAATTTACAATAAAGCTGATCATTAATTAAATATTCATTCAAAAACATTTTACATTTATCTTAATCTTGAACGTATTTCTTCTATTGTTTTTTTTCTCTTAACATAAATATATTAACATTCCTATCTTGATTCTTCGTATAGAATTATGTATTAAAAGAATATAGTCACTGAAATAGTGTCAAATATAAGTGATGAATTATGATTTGATTGTCAATACAGAAGATCTCTTAATCATTTCAGAAAAGATCATATTGATTTTTCTTGTTGTCAATGAGATAGATCAAGAAAATCAAGCATAAAGTTGGATAAACCATGTGCATCAACAGATTTCTTTTTACGTTTAACTTGTACTATGTAGATTAATTCGTCTAGCGCTATTTCAGGAATCTGTTCATTAACATTATCATAGTCAATTGGCGTTGAATAAATACAAAAATGAAGTTTGATAATATCAGATTTTTTTTAGAAAAATATTCATAAACATCCGCAGTAGTATGATAAAATTGTTTCCATAATCTTAACCATTGTTTCTGATGGAAATAGTATTACGATCACAGAGAATCTATTTAGTTTTTTTATCAGTTGTATGTTACTCACTGTATTGACACAAACATATGAGTAACATACATGCTGACATAAGAGTTTTACTTTTCTTTCTTATCAATATAAGAATGAGTAAAGAAAAGAACGAGTTTTATATCATAATAAAAAAACAACACTATTTTCATTTATTAAACGCATAAATGACTGATAAAGAACAATTGACCCATATTCAAAATAATAATTTACATAAAATATCCAATATATCAATTGATATACCTATTATAAATGAATCTCCAATATCACCAACAACTGAAACGATAATAAAACAAAATACTCATTCAAAATTATTATATTTAGATGGTCTTCGTGGAATACTTTGTTTAATTGTTGTATTTAGTCATTCAATTTTAATGGGTAAAACAAATCATGAACAAAATTTCTCAATATTTTTTCGTCCATGGATACAACATTCACCTTTACGTATATTTCTAGCTGGAGAATTTGCTGTAGCTGGATTTTTCGTACTATCAGGATGTGTCCTCGTACGACGTTATTTCGAACATTCAAATAATATTCATATTTTAATCGGTGGTTTAATCCGTAGATTTCCAAGATTATTCATACCATCAACTGTTGCTTTATTATGTTATTTTTCTATATTTCATTTTCGACCATTTTACGGTTATAATGAATGTCATGAAATCGGTGAAGGTACAGTTAATATAGAAGAAATTAATCTTGGTTATGCACTTTTAAATACATTTGGACAATATTTTTGGATGCCAGCATTATATACAATTCAATGGACAATGCAAATTGAATTTATATTTTCGATTCTAATTTATTTCATCGCGTTTTTAGTTACACGATCGTTTATTTATCGTTATCGAATAGTAATTTATATATTACTTATATTTATTTTACCTATAGTATGGTTAGTTAGTCATGAAAATATTCCAAGACCAGTTCAATATCTTCAACCATTTGTTTTTGGTATTTTCTTAAGTGATTTAGATGCGAATGGTTTACTAAATTTTTGTCATACAATAAAAAGATATTGGTTAGTTTTAATTAAAATTGTTTTAATTCTATTAACAATATATTTTGGTTCATATCCAGTATTTAATACAGATGTAATAAATGGTCATGGAACATTATGGTCACCATTTGGATGGATGTTTGGTTGGTTTTGGATATCATTTGGAAGTTTTTGTTTATTAATATTAATAATGATTTCAAAAAATATTCAAAATTTTTTATCAACAAAAATAATTCAATTTATTGGAAAAATATCTTTTAGTATCTATCTTACTCATTATATTATATTATGTATAATCGATACGTCATTTGTACAATGGACAGCTCCATATTTAGGACGAGATTTAGCTGTTATTATAGGATTAATAATATTTGCTTTACCAATTACTATATTTATATCATATGGATTCTATATATTTGTTGATGCTCCGGCAGTACATATGTCACATTGGCTTTATTTTATTATTTGTAATCGGTGTTTGAAATTAGATAAACGCCCACAACCAATACGACGACATATATGGATTAGTCTTTTAATACTTTTTATAATTACAATCATTATAAGTTCAATTCCTGCTCGGCAAGGATATAGTAGATGTGATAAACATTTCTATGAAAATTCAACCTTAACTATATCTATCTGAATTAGTATAATTTATAGATATATCAATAATAAACTATCATATTACATTTACTCTAGTTTAGATCGTCTTTCATTAAATTTTTATTAGTAGTATTTTGCTTGACTTGTAATTAATGATTAATATTCTTTTCTATAAGAAAGATTCAGATGTGCATGTCAATCAACTCGTAGAAATTTGTGCTAAACAGTATGTCTATAGATTTCGAATTTCTTTTATATTATAGAATTTACATATGTGATGTACAATGACAACTAACTAACAAACAAACAATATTCATCATGTGTAATTAACTACCGAGATGAGGTTACTCGTTGAGAAGAATCAGTTTTTATCGACACCTACACCTTCACTCTTTAGTTCTATACACAGACTTACAATGGTGATAATACAATCGAAGAAGTGATGGTATTTTAAAACATTATTTCATTATGATTTCAAATGAATGCGTAAACAATCTATATGAGTAAAAATATATATTTTATTTCATCTGATTATAGTTTTTATTCTATTCGATGATCGATTGAAAAGAACAATTAACAATAACACTGACTTGATTAGTTAAGTATCAATGAGAAATCGTATTTAAATACATAAGACTATTTATGTGTTTTATTCACTGCATTGTTTAACTTTTCTTCTTTGTAAAATATCAGTATGAGATAAATATACATATAATATTTCATTACTGACATTAAAATTTTATTAAATACAAAAAAAAGGTATCAACAAATATACAAAAAAGAATTCTATAGACATTATTTGATAATGTTAATTAGACGTATTGTGACGAAAATTGTATGATACATCCCAACTATCATCCATAAAACAACGAAGAATAACATTAATAATATTTGAACCATTATTAGTGGTTATAAATGGTAACATTCTGTTTTGGTGGTTCACCAGATCCTTCACCAGATCCATCACCAGATCCTTCACCTGATCCGTCACCTGATCCTTCACCGGAACCTTCACCTGATCCGTCACCTGATCCTTCACCAGATCCTTCACCTGATCCTTCACCGGATCCGTCACCAGATCCATCATCTAATCCTTTGCCTGATCCTTCACCGGAACCTTCACCAGATCCTTCACCTGATCCGTCACCAGAACCTTCACCAGATCCATCACCAGATCCTTCACCTGATCCATCACCGGATCCTTCAACAGCAAGCGCTGGTATTTTTGATGTATCACTATCTTGTCGGGATTCAATTGGCTTTGTTGCTGCAAAATTAATACATATAATAACTATGCTGATGTAAAACAACCATGTATAATGATGAAACATTTTGATAATCGTTGTAATAATAAGAATGAATAATGAACCATTGATAATGTTTTAACTAGCGTTGATTATCTCTATATATACTTTGATAAACGCAAACAATTATTCAGTATAAAGTATTGACGTAAATCAAATACAACGCAAATCCTAAATAAAGAAAAATTAGTTACGTCAGAATATAAAGTGATGAGAAACATATGACAATCGACGTATTATAATGTAAAAAGACAATTACGTCATTTCGCTGAATAGCATGATATATTAACCACATGTTTTGTATAAAGGTAAAAATCTGTCTTTACAACTATTGACGTCAATAAAGATGAAAAAGTGCATCATTTACATTAAAGTTTGAACTGCGAAATAAATAAATTATCAACTCTAAAAATTTGTATAATTTAATATAAAAATTAAAATTATATTTAATGTAAAAGATGATATTTGTTTGGATTATTATTATTATTATTTAATGTTTTATATTATTAGTCAAAAATCCAACAATCACATCTCATTTTTTAAGAATTAATGATCGTTTTTATAATATTGATGTTCGATCATTCTATTTTTAAATATGCAAAAAATTGCGTTTGATGAGGTAAAAATAGATAGTAAATACATGATTTACGAAATAACTCCCCCTTATTTACGTCATTAGTTTTAATACTCATATAAAAAATCAATCGAAATTATTGATTTATAAAAGATTATTATTTGAAATTTTCTTTATATTAAAAGAATATGATTGAAAACGTAATTAAAATGATATAAAAATAAATTTATTTTTTGGAAAAAAATGTAAATAAAAGTATTATTTATGAATTATTCATTAAGTCTATTCGATTTATTGTTTGTAGATGATTTCTGTATCATTGATCATGTTGATATCTATGGAATGAGAAGTCATGATACATACTATGTCAGTACATTATTTTGGGCATAATTAAAATTCAAAACGGCTTAAAATAATAATATTAAATTTTTCATATGCATTATTTAACGGAAATGTCATCGTAGATGTGTGGGTGCAAATAATATATTCATTTCTATTCGCCACATCGATTCGTACTCATACGAACTCTTAATCGTCACAGTCAATACACATACTTTGTAAATGAAGATAATTATATAATAGAGATAACGAATTCTCATTAATAGATGAATAGATACTACATGATTATTATAATTAACTTTCATTAAATTTTCTCTTGAACGGAAACACCGGGAATACTTTTCAAATACATTAAAACGGATGTTATTTGTATCAGTTTTTACTTAATATGTGGTATAATTAAAGAATGTATTTAAACATGGTATAAGCACCTAGTTTATTGTAATATTAAAAAAACTGTGCTTAGATTTCTCGTTGTACTAATCATATAAAATAGTGAGTTTACAATATATTTCTTTATTGAGTGTGAAAATTCATCTATTGAATTATTTCTTATGGCATCATCATCTACTAATGAAAATTCCTATGATTATTATACAATTATTCAAAATGAATTATATATCACTATTTGTCCTATTTTAATTGGCATTGGTATTATAGGTTCTACTTATTTAATTGCATTTAATATTTCGAATTTTCTATCATTAATATTTGGTTTATTACCACCTGTTTTATCATATTCAATTAATTTCGACCTATCATCTTCCAGTGTGATCTATTGCAAATTTCGATTTTATCTCTCAACAATATTTAGTACACTTTCTCCTATTTATCTAGTTCTAGCATCTATTGATCGAGTACTTATCACATCAACAAATGCATTACTACGACAACGAAGTACATGTTCCTTAGCGTATTGGTCTATTGGTATTACTGCAATAATTGGTTTACTCTTTTATATCCAAATTTTTGTACGTGTTAATATTCAAAAAATTTTCACAGGTGTTTACTTTTGTTATTATGATTCAGATATCATCTATGGAATAGTTTTTGTATACAGTAGACTTCTAATCAATGGTTTAATACCAACATTTTCTATGAGTGTATCTGCTATACTTACATTGAAAAATATTAATCAATTACGTATAAATCCAACAATAAGAATAAATAATCAGTTATCAAAAGATCGTCAATTAACTGTTATGCTTGTTAGTGAAATAGTTATTTACGTACTATTTAATTTTATGACACCAGTTACACTTATTTACTTTCAAAGTACTCAATATCAAATGCAAACTATTCAACAACAAGCACTCAATAGTTTTCTAATTGGTGTTTCATTCTTTTTATCTTATATACCAGTTTCAATCAATTTAATAGTATCAAAATCATTTCGTCAAAATATTATTAAAATGTTCTCCAAAATATGTGGCTTATGCTCTGTACAATATAATAGAGGGCGAATGATCAAGCCGGCTGCAACAGTACATCCTTCGTTTATACATTAAGAAAATATAGATTAGTTAATGTTGTCTTGTGAGTAACAGTAAACAATGATTATGATATTTTGTAATCTATTCTTATCATTATTAACAATAATAAAGTTTTATTTGAAAATGAGAATGTAAATTTTACTCTCGTTTTTTTATTCATCTAGATTTACACGCAAAAAGTTTCAATTGAAATCCATGATATTTCACTGATAATATTGGTTGAATCATTATGATCAAGTTGATTCAAAAATGTTATTATGTAGAGTATTATTGAGTGTCTTATTTGTAAAGACTAGTCTTAGTGAAATCTACATATAGCAGCGTGGCGCAGTGGAAGCGTGCTGGGCTCATAACTCAGAGGTCGGAAGATCGAAACTTCTCGCTGCTATTCTTTCTTTTTTAATTAATTCGAATTACATTTTACTCATAGAATGATGTAATGTAATGATTCATAAAATACAGTATAACCTCTATTAGTGCACACTTTTCGGTCCGACCGACTGAGTTTTGCTGGTTTTTACTCTTTTCTTTATAATCACCTCGACATTCTGAATGGGAACGCTTTTTTTTTGAGTCCTTACCATGTAAATCAAACATAGCCAGATAGTGCCATCTATTACCTAGTTGACACTATGCATGTAATTGGCTCTTTCTATGGTTGGTTATAAAAGGCAAAGGAGAAAATAGACATAATCAATATTATTTTTTCTTGTTAGATCATTATGAAATAAGACCACTCGTCGAGAACTTTCTCTTAAAGAAAAAAATATATTTAATAAAAAAAGAACAAGGCATTTTTCATTGACGATTGAGTAAGAAATTTCAAATATTTCCCCATTGAAGATCATAAATATCTTATGAAGTAAATGAAGAGACATCATTAAATTCGAAAAATCCCTATATTTCTACAGGCTCTCTCCTTTGTGATCACCCTGTTAATTTGAACGATCTTCAAATTAGAGGGATTATATTGTTTTTTCTTTTTACATATACCTACATAAATATTAAAACAGAACAGAATAAAATAAAAAATATAAAAGTAAACTGTAGTCATAGAACAGCAAAAAAAAGCATTCAGGTTATATTATTTCGTCACCATGATTCTATGTTCGTTTCGTACGTTGCATCATGTCTTGTTTTTTTTCTCTTTCTCTCTTATTTTCGTTTTTTCTTCGCACGTTGTTGATATAAACGATTTTTAACATGGCTGTTTCTTCTGCCAATGCTGTGATACGGACTCAACAAGGTATTTGTTTTTACCAGCTGATGATTTTGTTATTTTCTTAATTAGGATGGCGTAGGCTTATCAAACCTTATTTATTTTCAACACTTGCAATCGGTACAAGTGTAACATTAGGTGATTTTATATGTCAATATTTAGAAAGACATAAACATAGAAAAGAAGATGTTATTCCACGAACATCATTATCTTCTGCATTACCATGGTGGAATAGTGAACGTTCTTTGATTATGTGTACATCAGCTGTTCTCGTCTCAACACCTTGGAATTTTGCACTTTCAAGAACAGTTGAACGATTATTTCCAGGTTTGTATAAACTGAGAATACATTTAGAAAATAAGAGTTCTTTGGCATACTTCTTTTTTGTATTTTCAATAGGTAAACAAGGTATACAAATTGCGAAGAAAATGTTAACGAATACATTAACTGCACCTATTGGTATAAGTCTTATCTTTACAACTATTACCCTTTTGAAAGGTCAAAGTATTAGTGAAGCGAAAATAAAAGTTAAAACTGATATGCCAAAAACTTTTCTAGCTGGATCATGTTATTGGCCATTTGTTTCATTTATTAATTTTCGTTTTGTACCTTTGGATTATCGACCATTTCTTGGTAGTCTCGCTGGAGCTATATGGAATATTTACATTTCATCTGTTGCTAATACAACAACTGATATTGAACAACCATCAGAAATAACATTAACAAATTTAATATCTGAAACAGGTGGAACAACAATACCAACATTAGAAAAAGCTTGGAATATTTTAGATCAAAATAAAAAAGATCTCTAATTTTGTGTTAGAAAATTTAATACTTATGAGTGTTTAGTTATAAATATATTTTTTTATATGAAAACAAAATTTCATTTGTTCTAATGTAGATTAAAATAGTATCTGTCTGCTGAAAAGTGATGAATGCTTTTATTTTTAGAAGTAATTTTTCTTGAGAATTAACCTATATCATAGGTTTTAAATTAAATTTAATTTCTTTTTTTATTTAACGATTGTAATCCTTATACTCAATGTATTATTGATGATGTATTTTTCAAAAAGAATTTATCAATAAATTTTTTAGTTTTTCGATTCATCATCGAAAATCATGGAAATATAACGAGCAATTCGTTCCGGTCCCAATTTGTCAATAATACTTTGACGAATCGTTTGATATAGACCACTGTTGAGAGTATTAGTTTCATAAGCCACTTGAATTTGAACTTTATCTTTCGCATATTCATGTAATAAAAATATATCACTTTCAGTACGTTCTGTAGTAGTTAATGTGATATACAATTGAAGGACTGTTAAGTCACCATTGACCTCATTTACTGATTGCACTTGTAAATTATATACGTTACCATCACCTGCATCTTTCGTAAATTCATCAATGATGCGATCTGTTGGATTTAAATGTTGAATTTTATCAAAAGCACGATTTAATATATCCTGTAATTCTGGATTAATTTGACCTGCTAATGATGTTGTAATTACTGACTTGAGAGAGATATGATCAGTGGTGGGAATAAATAGAGTGAAACTTCTCGCAGATGACGTCACCCAAGCAATATTAGGTAAAAGATGTTCATAGTTTTCATACCAAGCACTAATAGAAGTTCGAGTAACTTTAGCATTAGCAGCCAATTGAGCAAGTAAAAGCGAATAGAGTACATCTTGTTTAGATTGTGCTGTAACCGAACTGCTAATTAAATGTAACTGACCAGCACTAAAATAGCTGGCTTTGCCTTGATTATAATTGCTATCACTATGAACAGAATTCAAAATGAAAAGCAAAGTCGTAATAAAAAACAACCACGATAACATGATGCAAAAGTATTGTTATTGGCAAAAAAAGAAAGTTTAAAATGAATGATGGTAAGCTTTTTAAAAGCAATGTGATATCATAAA